TGGATTAGTTAACCAGTATTTGGATACATTTTGGATTAGTTAAAGTGAATTGGAGAAGTTATAGATTAGTTAAGATCTTTTGGGTGGGCTATAGATCAGTTAATCTGTATTTAAATATGTTATGGATTAGTTAAACTGTGTTTGGGTGGGTTATGGATTAGTTAAAATGTGTTTGGGTGTATTATAGAGATTAGTTAACCTGTATTTGGATAAGTTATGGATTAGTTTTGCGGTGTTTGGAAGGGTTATAGATTAGTTAACCAGTATTTGGATACATTTTGGATTAGTTAAAGTGAATTGGATAAGTTATGGATTAGTTAAGATGTTTTGGGTGGGCTATAGATCAGTTAATCTGTATTTGGATATGTTATGGATTAGTTAAACTTGGGTTATGGGGGTTATGGATTAGTTCAAATGTGTTTGGGTGGGTTATGGATTAGTTACTTTCTGTTTGGAGATTAGTTAGATTAGTTAACCAGTATTTGGAAATGAATTGGATAAATTATGGATTAGTTAAGATGTTTTGGGTGGGCTATAGATCAGTTAATCTGTATTTGGATATGTTATGGATTAGTTAAACTGTGTTTGGGTGGGTTATGGGTTAATTAAAATGTGTTTGGGTGTATTATAGATTAGTTAATATGTATTTGGATAGGTCATGGATTAGTTCAAATGTGTTTAGGTGGGTTATAAATTGGCTAAACTGTATTTGGATAAATTATGCTGTGTTTTGGTGGGTTACAGATTAGTCAACCTGTATTTGGATATTTTATGGATTAGTTAAGATGTTTTGGGTGGGTTATGGATTAGTTAACCTGTATTTGGACATGTTATGGATTAGTTAAAATGGGTGGGTTATGGATTAGTTCAAATGTGTTTGGGTGGGTTATGGATTAGTTACTTTCTGTTTGGCTGGGTTATAGATTAGTTAACCAGTATTTGGATACATTTCGGATTAGTTAAAATGAATTGGATAAATTATGGATTAGTTAAGATGTTTTGGGTGGGCTATAGATCAGTTAATCTGTATTTGGATATGTTATGGATTAGTTAAACTGTGTTTGGGTGGGTTATGGGTTAATTAAAATGTGTTTGGGTGTATTATAGATTAGTTAATATGTATTTGGATAGGTCATGGATTAGTTCAAATGTGTTTAGGTGGGTTATAAATTGGCTAAACTGTATTTGGATAAATTATGCTGTGTTTTGGTGGGTTACAGATTAGTCAACCTGTATTTGGATATTTTATGGATTAGTTAAGATGTTTTGGGTGGGTTATGGATTAGTTAACCTGTATTTGGACATGTTATGGATTAGTTAAGATATGTTTGGGTGGGTTATGGATTAGTTAACCTGTATTTGGA